GGCGGCGGCAGCCGGACGGGAGGGGCGGGACCGCGGCCTAAGACAGCCCCGCCGCCACGGCCCAACGCGGCTCCGCCCACCCCCAGGCCCCGCCCCCAGGCCACCACCGCCGCCGCCTATTGGCCGGCGGCTCAGACGCATGGACGCGACCCGCCCCGCCGCCCCCCGACCGTTCGGTTCGGGTTCCTGCCCAGCCATTGGGCCTGCGGGCTCCTGGGCCAGAGCGGCTGGCTCGGCCCCCGCCAGCTGCGGGGCCGTAATTGGCTGGGCTGAGCCCACGCCCGGGCGTTGATTGGAGGACAGGCATTTTCCCCCCTACTCCCGCGCCCCGCCTCTCGCGCCGAAGTTCCGTTAGTCACGTTCGGTTGCTCCAGAGTTCCCTCTCGTCCCGGGGGGCGGGACCGATGGGGTGGGCCCTCTAGCGGGCTCCTCTTGCCTCACGCAGCTACCGCTGACCCGCAGGGAGGGCCCGGGAGGAGACTGGCGGCTCTTTCCTCTTTTGAGAGCTCTATTTTCTTCTGATTGGTTGACAGGCGCCCCTTCGGTCGCTTATTTTCCGTCGCGGACGCAGCGCGATGACGTAGCTTCCCCGATATTCCACGTCCAAGATGGCCGCAGTCGGCACGGAGAGACGTTGCTAAGGGGCTTGCCTGAGGCGAGGGGTGAGTGACTGACGGACCGCGGGCAGCGCCACTCACGTCCCGCAGACCTAGAGATCGGATTAGGGTATGGCCACCTGCCTCCATCCTCTGGAGGAGTCTCCTCGGATTCCGCTTCCCTCCTCTACCCCCTGGTGCAGATCGAAGTTAGCGGGCGACGGCGGGGCTGCGAGACGCGCTTCGGGAGGGGGTCTGAGTCGCAGGAGTCGGTCAGGGAGGCCGGCCGGGACTCTGGAACAGGTAGCGGCCCTCAACATGAGGGGCGGTTAGGGTTCGGGGACTTTCTGGCAAGTGGGGAGAAGGGACAGGGGTCTTAAACACACGCGCGCCGTACCGCAGCAAATTACCCACATCTTCCCAGTTATTTCGCAGTGTGTCGGTCTTAATCTTGGTAAAGCCCGAGACTTCGGGTGTTGTTCCACATCTAGGGTACTCTGACTTCGGAATCTGAAGAGCCATGTAACAAGGGTGGGGCTAGGAATTAGGAAAGGGCACTTCCGCGATTGGTTTCATTCTTGCCAAGATACCGCCCCTGCGGACCCTCTCCTAGGTGGTTTGGTTTGTTGTTAAACGAATTGTTCCTTGGAAGGTAGAAGCATACATCTAGAGGTTACTTAAAAGCACTTAGACTGTTAGCATGGTGGGTAACGCTCCCTAAATTTGGCTTGCCGGTTAAACGGAGCTTTCGCTAAACTATCTGACATTAGGAACAGCTTCTAAGACCAGTTAGTTGAGGGTAGCCTTTTTATGTTTTTAAGGTAAACTTGGTAATGCTTGTGTATCTCGCTCTGAATCGCTCTTTGAAGATACCTAGCACAATGCCTTGCAGTCGTAGCAGTGATTATGATTTTTGAATGATGTTACCAGAATGAAAGCTCCATGAAGGAACTTTATATTCTCAGCACCTAGAGCACAGCATCACGTAACGTAAACTATGTATTGCAGAATGAATGGATGGATGATTGTAGTAGCAGTCGTAGTGATAGACATCCGTTTAAGTGTTAGTGTTCTTATGATGCCTGCCTCCTGTTAAATAATCTTGGTTATGAATGTAATGGTTATCCAGGATTGTTTTTCAGGGTGACTACCATTGGTGTCTAATTTTAGGATTTTTTTCCCACCTTTGTTTCATTTTGATTATATTGCGGTGCATCGTTCAAAAATGTTAGTTGATTCTTGCATAAAGCATGTTTAACATTTATTCCATTTTTAAAATGTAGTTTGCACCAACACGCAATAGAGAAAAAAAATTGCTGAGATCCTTAAATCTTAAATGCCATTTCTAAAATTGAATGTCATAAAGAAAACAATTGGTCATAGTTTTGGCCTACTAAATAAACTATGTGTTTCAGGAGTTTTTATTTGAAAGCAGTGAGTTTGCTAACTATCTAGAAGGAAGAAAAATGTTTTCTCTTTTAAAACTTCTTTTTAAAACTAGGTAAAGACAAACAAAATCAAGAAGGGTTAAGTACAAGGTAATTGAGATTATAAAGAATATCTAATTGGATTAAATCTGTCTGATTGGAGTAAATCTAATCCATATTTTCAGGCTCAAAGGATATACCAAAAAACTTGTAGATAAGATTGTGAAGTCATTGTTCATGCTTTTGAGAAATCTTAAAAGTGCAGTTAATGATGGAGGACTAGAGTATGATAAATGTGTCAGTTTCTACAGAGAGCAATTAGGTGGATTTGGATCTAGAACTTGTTAATGGTCTATTTTAGAATCTTGTTGGGAGAGCAAAAAGAGAGTTTGTGTACTTGGGAAGAAAGGGCTCATACTCTCAGACCAGCAGAGCTTCAGTTAAAAAAAAGCCAATGACACAAATCATGCTTCTTTGTTATAAGTTTACTAGACTGGTGGTGGATGGGGGTTGCTAGACATGAGTCTGTTTAGATTTTCTTAGGACGCTGAGCATAATCCTTCTTCCTATCCTAATAGACACAGGAGATAAATGAATACTGAGTAAGTTCTGATTAGATGGATTTATATCCATTCAAATTACCAACCCCAAATGTTGATTAATGGGTTGATGACAGCCTGGAGAGAGTTCTTTAGGGATAAGCTACAGGGCTCTGGTCTTGCCCTTGCTCTGGTTAGCACTTTTTTTATTACCAACTTTAAATATATGAGGCACATTTCTCAAAGTAATAAATGCATGCAAAACTTGTAGTGATAGCCAGTTTGTTATATGACACTCAGGATTCAAAGAGTTCTTAAAGGCTGAAATAATAGACCAAAACTAAAAAGATATAAATTTGCCAGGAATGATTAAATTTACAAAATCTCAGTTGTGTTTGAGACGAGAAAGACCTGACTTGGGAAAAAAAGTGGTTCTAGGATGTAATGTCCTGTTTATAGAAGTGAAATATATGTAAAATTTTCCCCAGATTGAGGGAAGGCAGTATTTTACTCTAATGACAAATTATGTCTCTGCCAATTACTGGCTGTGTGAATTAGACAAGTTGCTTCATGCCTCTTTGGCTGCATTTTCTCAGTGATAAATTATGAGGTTAAGAAAACATAGCTTACAGGCATGCTGCCACTCATGGACACACAGTGGGTATGTTGCTGAATTTAATAACCTCCCTTCATTCACTGTGCAGAGCATATGAAGAGTATTGTGTTCCATGTTGATTGCTATGTTTGGAGAGGATCTTGAAACTTGAAACATGTTCAGGAAATGGGAATATTTGTTTACCCAGGAGAAGAGAAGAGAATGGAAAAATTGCCTTCACATATTTGAAAGCCAACCAGTAGATAAGAGAAAGGTAGTTCCAAGGCTTAGGGAGCTAGGTGGGAGCTGCAGAGAGTAGCTGAAAGGTAGATTTCATTCACTTATTATTCTGTGCCCTCTCTGTACTAGATGCAGGGCATGAACAGAACAGACAAAAATCAACATAAGACAAATACAAGAATTAATGTGAACACCAATTACTGATAACCAGCAATGCCATAGGCTGCCTTGTCAACTATTAAGGTCTCATTAATAAAAGTGGCCCAAAGAAACTGAGTGACCAGATATTACCGCTTAGAGGCAGTCTCTGTACAGGGTGAGAAAATTTGGTAGTGACCTTTACTGTTGTTTCCAATTTGTAAATATCCATAATTCTAAATGTTGAAAATGCATTTAATCTTTCATTAGGTAAAATGATGTGTCCAAAGCACATTCTTTTTTTTTTTATTTTCACTTTTTTTGAGGGGGGGGGCGAGGAATTAGGTTTATTCATTTTATTTTAGGAGGAGGTGCTAGGAATTGAACCCAGGACTTCATGCATGCTAAGCATGTGCTCTACCACTTGAGCTATACCCTCCCGCAAAGCACATTCTTGAAAGATGTGTCTAAGATGCCTTGACATGCTGCTTGTTTATTAAGAGCTTTTTACTTTGCGGAGCTCGTAAATCTTTCAGTCATTTTCACAGTAATTGTGAGCTGTTAATGAGAAAATGTATAACTTTAGGGTCTTATGAAAAAATAATTAAAGAGTAATAGGTAACAGGGTTATAGAACTGAGGCAAAACTGTTTCAGGGGATGAATGATTTAGAGGACCATTTCTGTTCTATTTGTGTACACTTGCTTTCACTGTGTTTCACGTGTTGTTCATTCTGCCCCAGAGTCTAAAAGGCACATGTGGTAGATTATTAGCATGGGATTTGGCAATGATAACAAAGTAAAAAGCATATATGGATATACTTATGATTTATCCATTCGTGGACTGAGATTCTTTTCCATCCTTATTTCATCCCTACTGGATTATCCCTAACCCTTGCCTCTGCTCTGCCCCTCTCCTCTCAGCAGATGTCCTGGCACTTCCCTAGAGAAGTGGAGATACTCCTTTATGATTTATTTTATCTTCCTTAAGTGATTTTTAAAATATCTTCCTCACACTTTTCCTTCTTTCTGTCTCAGAGAAAGAGCTTCCTTCCACAGAAACGTCTTTGTATTATCCTGTGCTTTTTATTAGCTCTTAGCCAGTTAACCCCTCAGTGGCTTGTTCAGCCTCCTCTAGTGCCGCCTTTCCTTCTGGCTTCAGACATCCTTCATTCTCCTTTATGCTGAAGAAACTATCACCTGTTTTACAGCCTGCTCATTTCTTCACCGTCCATGTGTCTTCCTTCTCCCCCACTGCACCTCTGAAAAGGTTCGTCTGTCTACATGTGTATATATCTGCTTTACTGAGATACAATTCACGTACCATACAAATCACCCATATGAAGTGTACGAGTCAGTGAGTTATGCAACCATCACTACAGTCACTATTTAATGTCTCATAACTAATCACCAGTCTAGTAACCTGTCCTTAACGCCGGTCCTTTAATTTTTCTGTAGCATTTGTCACTGTTGAGTACCATCTCTGACTTAGCGCTGGCATCTTTTGGCTTCTTATGCAATTAAGGGTGCAAATTTCCCTACCCCTTTGACCATTCCTTCCCCTTCTCTCCTTCCTGCTTCCTCAAGTTCTTCAGAGTTCTGTCCCTACACCTTCTTTCTTCATTCTCCACCGCTCTGTCACCAGGACTTTAGTTGTCACTTCTATGTAGATGAATCCCAAGTAGATGTGTTCTTTCCAGATTTCAGCAGGCCTGTTTGTGTGTCTGATGGACATTTCCACACAAGTTTCTTATAAGTTCTTCAAAACTAATATTTATAGAACCAGATTCTTTCCCTCCCCCATCAAAACCAACTCTTTCTCTTCCGCATTTTTCTTTTTAGCATCACCCTTCTCTGTCAAGCAAAGTTCAGATCATCCCTTGCCATCCTTTGCCTCACAGCCAGTTATGGTGTCCCTTTCTCCCGCTGCCATTGGTGGGGCCGGGCCCTCATTAGGCATGACTTGCACGCTCTGTGGTCTAACTGGTCTTCCTTATGCTGATCTCTAAATGGCCCCAACTGCATCGCTCTCCCCGCGTACTGTGCTTTATTATTTCTCATGGCACTTACCACTCCCTGACAGATGCTGACCTACTTGTTTCTCTTTGTCTCTGCTACTAGAATGTAAG